AGTTACGACGGATTTTACTAACTGCTGATTCAGAAAAGCGTATGAAAACTATTCAAAAGTTCAAGTCAGAAACCCTAATTCTTTTCGTTGCGATATTTTTTATTTTTCCCCCAGTAAGAAATATTTTCGAGGCTTTTATAAATTCTATCAGCTATGAAATATTGCAAGTGTTAACTTATGTTTCGAATGTAAGTAGTTCTTGGTTTTCCTAGTTTTTATTAGGTAAAAGGATCTTTTTAATTTAAAGTATTCATACATATTGTAAAAACTATGTAAAATTCACTTTTTTGGTCCTTTATTAGCCTAGTTTTAATAAAATTGTTCGATATAAGAAATTTCTATTTTTAATACACTATTATTAAGATTGGAAAGTTTATTTATTTTTATTTATTAAATTTCATGTATTTTGATGTACGTTTATAGATTGTTTTGTTTCAATTATGAGTAAAAAAATCATTAATCTGTTGGGAACTTAACTTCCTTTTAACTGCGCCAACTAAAGCTTAAATTAAAAACACTCTGTTTAAAAATTGTTTCACTAGTTGCTACGATAAACTATATATACTTTATATTGAGTTATATTGATCACTTTTTTTTTATTTTAAAAAAGAGGCAGTCTTGAGTCACTTTCACGAAAATACGATTCAATTACGAAATTCAAATAGCGATTCACAATCATTCGAACCACTTCAGTTTTTTTTTCTTTTTTTTTTCAAAGTTCCAAGTCATTTTGGACAAAATACATAATTCAAGAAATTAAGTTACATAAAAAACCACATTTTTAAATTGTACGGGACAGAATTTTCCAGGTAAAAATCACAAGATTTCCATGTACTGAATAATATTATGCAATCTATTCTAATGTTATATAGTGGAAATTCTAGCAACTTGTAAGTTTTGTAGCTGGAAATAATACCAAAGAACAGTTTGATGTTGAAATATCAACTCTGGAAAAAATTGCGACTTATCACTGCATTTTACCAAGCTCTTAAATTTAAACTAGCGTTACGTAAAAACATTTGTATGAAAATCTTCAAGTGAAACAAAGCACATATCTGGCAAATGAAAAATTATGTACTTCAAAAACCACTTTGTTTTTACAATCGAATCAGTCATACTCGTCTTCTGAAACAGGTTCAATATGATGAAGTAGTTGCCTTAACAGTAAAATTTTAGAAAACGTGAGGTTACAGAATATGACTTAGGTTAATTCGATACTTCTTAAATTTCAGTATTTTTTAAAAAAAATAAACTTAATTACTTTAAAAACAACTAATTTTTTTCGCAAAATTTCCAAACATTATTTAAATTAAAAAATACGTTTACTCGCTTAATTTAAAACACCAACTAGAAAAGGACGCTAACTCCTATAATTTATCTCAATATTTTGTGATAAAAATCTTTTTATCTTTTCAGTAGTAAGCATTTTTCTAAATGATGGCAAATGCAATGTAATAAATGGGAATTGATTCCGGTAAAAAATATCCTTCCTCCGATAAAAGATAAAAAGGATTGATGCTGAAAGAAGTGATTTTGGGTAAAAATAAAAGGGTGTGGTGTTGGACACACCCACAACCATGGCTTGACCTTCCGAAGGTCGATCCAATTTTTTTTAATAATGCTAAAGGAATTATTATACAGTTTATTTAAACTTAAAACTTATAAATGTAGAATTTTGTATTTGTTTCTAGTAAAAAGAAATTTCCATTTACTTTAAAAACGTTAAAAAAAATATTTGGTTTCTAAAGATCGAAACGTTTTTGAAACTTCAAAAATCCTGTGATAGGGATTTTTTCAAACATTCTTCTTGCAAATGAAATACACTTTCCAATATACCTCTTTAATACATTTACTTCAGATTACTGGAAGTTTCTTTAACTCCAAGATACCCTAGTATTCTTTCGTCTGTTATTTCGCTTGCTTCCTCTCTTCCCTTTTCACTTTTGCTCTCGGCTTATATAGTTTATAACACCGTGTGTTCCTTGAAATTCGTAATATCTTTTGAATTGGGTGCAGTATAGCCGCTTCTAAAACTTATTTGTGCATTAAACTCGGCATTGAATCGATATATAAGAATTTCCCTTTTAATTTAATTGTTTTTCAAACATAATTTTACGTAATTTTATCCCGGTTGTTAAACTGTTGATCCATATAAATATTCAACTATAAAGTGATGTTGAACCCAACCCAGAAGACAAAAGGATTTCTGGATTAGACATTGGGACAAACTCGCCTGGGGAAAGCTTTTTTTGGTGAAACTCACCACATATGTGTTACTCTAAAAAGAAAACCAGGAAAATCATTCATGTCAGGGTGTTCGAACCTATGATCTACCTTTAGGGATATTTTTCAGATGATTATTACTTTTATGAAACTTATATCTGATATATAACAATTAAATGTTTACAATATAAATAAGCTATATAAAATCAAATCTGCCAACTTCTCTTAAGTAACTATAGCTGTAACTACTCTCTTTCTAGATGTCTAATCTGACGTCACGTCACTTATCACTGGCAATCCACCAATGAACAATGAGTTACAGGTAGCAACAAATAGGAATACGTTTCTATTGGGATGAAAATATGAATTGCGCAAGCGACAATTTATTTATTCTAATATATTCAGTAATAATATTCAGCTTCTGACATGGACATCTCCATACCTAAAACGCATGGAAAATTTAAAAAATTGGGCACGGAATTTTTTATTAGCTCTTTTCCAATAAATCGATTTTTTCTTACGTATAAGACAAAATGCCGTTAGAAATTGGTGTTCCGTAAGATATCTGATGTTACGGGTTCATTTTGTTGATAGTAGCCATTCTGAAATGTTTCTGTTTATCTAATCAAATTAACATGAAGAGCAACATTAAACATGGCTGTCCGTACTTCTCTTCATAATTGGATAACTGCAAGTGGCAACTGTTGATTCAGAACCCAATCAGCTTCGACACACGTGCGTGACGTCACTTTGAGGTATTCAATTAAATCTAATTTAAACCACTCAGTTGGGCATAATTACTTCACTTCTTCTCAAATTGCAGGTACCCAGTAATACGTTACTTTTAACTGTGGACTAAAATTAGTTATATCTAATTATAGATCATAATTATCTTCCTACAAAGCTATAAGCTAATATAGAATGCTTTAGTCTTGACTTATAATGAGGTCTTTCTTTTATTTGAAATATGCTCAAATCAAAATAATTAAACAATATCATGCCATCTTTTGTTTGATTTATTTTTCTGGAGAAATCTTTAGAACGTTAACACTTTGGCCCAACACGTAGAAATCATTTATTTGATAGTAAGTAGTAAATGTCATTTTTGTTGTTGTTGTCAATTTCTTTAACAGTGTAATGTATTTCAAGCTATTGTCGCTTCTAAAATTTTAATTAATGATGTTAACGAAATAGATCTTGTTTGTTGATTTTTATATCTAAATTATTGGCTTTAAAACTAATTGTAGCACATTAGCTAAAAATAAATGGTATGAAAACAATAATTTTTTCCAGCCTGTCGTCTCTTTAATCACGCTTAATAACACTTTTGAAAACACGTACCTAAATATTATTGTCTTATAGATGTTGATCTAAGGCAGATAAGATATGAAAAATAAATAGAAACCCCATTCAATTTCGCAAATTGTCTTACCTTTTTATACTTTAACATAATCTTATTTAATGTACAGTTTTATTAAGTCTATACAAAATGTGCAAAGCTTCAATAAAAAAAATACTCCTTTGGGATTCGAAAAAGTATATCAACACAAGAAAAACTCATCAATGAAAAAAGTATTTTTAAAATCTGTTTTTGAAGAGAAGAGGTAATGCGTAAATTTCTAAATAATGCAAATTAAGTGGCTATGAATTTTGCTGCAGTGCGTTTAAATTTTTTACTTTAATATTAGAAAGAAATTGCATTGTACAGACATTTTTCTTCTTTATACCGAAGAAACCAAATATGCATTTGTTATAAATATATAAATTTTTTTTTAAAAAAATATAGCATTATTTTTAGGGTACTTTCCGATTTGCTGGGTGCAAATAAAAAGTCGCCAAAAATGTAGACCTTTACAAATATTTTTTATTAATTTTTTTACTACTTATTTTATTTCATTTATTTTTTAAACACTGAAGAATATGATTTTTCATAAAAAATTAAATAAATTGAAGTAAAATAAGAAAAAATAGTTGAAATTTCCTTGCGCGAGGCTAACCGTAAAATACCTTTTTTAGAAATATTACATCCTTAAAAAGTTTTTATAAATATTATTTTTTTAAAGGAAAAGAGAAAAAAAATTTATTTTTTTGAAGAACAGTTTTCTTTTATAATTTTCTGAGAAAATCTATTACTTCTATCCTAATATTTACCCTATTTATATAAAATATTTCGTAATTATCATCCTTATTATATATATTTCTATAAAAATCCAGATTAAAAATTGAAACAAAAAATTATATTCTTTGCGGGTCGTAAATTATTAGGAAGGTATAGGAATAAATTGAAACATGCTTTAGAAATCTGTCAAATCACTATTAATGAAATGGTGAGTACAAAACATCAAAACCCGTTGGAACTTGGAACTTATAATTATCATCTTTTAAACTCCTCCTTGTTTTTCCAGCAATCAAACAGGTTTTAATGCTTAGTGCACCTGCTTTCATTCACAATGATTTGTCAGATCTCTAAAGCATTTCCAATTTTAGTTTTCAACCCTAAACTTTTTAACAAGGACTATAAAAAAATATATATTAAGAGTGGTCACTACGGCACACCCTGTATAATTTACGTAACTCCATCTTGCGATTTCTGTTAAAAATTTGTTTTCTCCATGCATTGGCAGCTGATATCGAAATGAAATTTAACAAAAATTAGAGTATGAAATCCGTTTGAAAATTACATTTTCCTTTTGCTTTTCAATAAAGTGTACATTTAATTCACACTTTGTTTTGTGAGAATTGTGTACTCATTCTTCATTGCTCTTGTTTATTTTTAGGGAGTCATGAACCAGTACTTGCTTCTGATTCTTCTAACATCATGGTCTTTGGTGATCACGCATTTGGAGGCATGCGACACTGGGGTGGCTTTCACGAACAGCGTTCTCAGCACATCGAGGTCTTCACTCGCCAACGCAGACGTCGCCCTCCTTGAAATCTACACTGCTCAGACTGTAGAAAAATGTATGGAAGACTGCTGCTCAGGAAAATATGGTAAATGTTCTTCATTTTTTTGAACTACTTAAGGTTTTTCTTAGAAACTAAAATTGGTGATATTTAAAAAAAATTTAAAAATTTTTTTTAATCAAATTCTCAAAATATGAATGGTGGCGCCATCTACTGCCAAGAATTAGACTTCTATAGGGCCGATCCACTCACATATCCATTCATTCATCCACAGATCGTTATTATTTTAACTAGAACCAGCGAACGATCAATCACCAACTCAGTACCCTCAGAGGTATGATTCGTTATGGGGACACAGAGGACTTAGTGACCCGGCAGATTTAATGTGTATCATTAATCATTTACTACACGGGGATCGAACTCACGACCTCTTGGACATGGGCCCAATGTTCTACCAACCAGGCTATCTCGGCCCATAAATTTTAAGTCTTCGTGTAATTTAGCTTTCGATTTCGGTAATTTGATGCAATTCTTTAATTTTGATCTGATTTTTCTGTTGTTAACTTACTTTAGAAGAATTTTAGTTTTTCACATGCTAATTAGAAATTTTTTATTGTTTGATATAATTGATATAAAGTGTCATTAAATAAGATAAATATTGTCAATATAGATGTCCAAACTGACATTGCCTGAAAGCGCCTTGTTTTACTTTAAATTTTGCACCTATTCATCAGATGACCAAGTGGTTTCCAATAGCAACAAATGTGAATAGAAAAAGTGCATTGTTGTAATTAATAACCATGAATAATAGAGATGCCCAAGCCAAAGACTGAACTGCGTTCTTGAGTGGTTTAAATAAATCGTTCGTAATTTTATGATTCTGAATTGCAATATTCCTGTTGGATGATACATATTCCGATCCCAATAGAAAAGTATTCCTATTGGTTGCTCTCGAACTAATTGATTGCAAGTGGACAGGTAAGTGAAATGACATCAGTATAGACTACAGAATCGCTACTAAACTTCATCCTCGTAGATTTCCATAGAAATGCCAAAACCACAGACCGAACTATATCTCTTGACTATTATCATTCAACCAATTGCAGTAATATAATGTTAGAGACAACAGTATTGTTAATGGAAACCAGTTGATTACACCATTTAATTTTGAAATGAAATGTATTCCAATTGGTTGTAACTAATAACTTTTTTGGTCATTGATAAATTTTCATTTGGCATGTAAGTGATGTGACGTCAGCTTAGACATCTCTATTAACGAATAAACCAAAGAAGCTGAAATTTAATTTAAACGGTATCCCTGTGGGGTATCTCAAAGTAGCTGCAATAAATTTATTATTGGTCATACGTAAATGCCCCATAAACTGTTAATTTAAATATGAACTATGCAATTTTTATTTTCAAAGCAGCATGAATGGTGATTGAAGTGAGGGATTTTGCAATTTCAATTTTTGTAAAAACTAGCCGTTTTTAGTAACCAGCTTGATTGCCATCACAAAATCATTCCTTAACTTTTGGTCTTACATTGTGGTGATATGGCACATCAATAACTAATGTATAAAGAAAATTCAAGTACAACTTAACTGAATTCTATAAACTTTAACTTGTAATCTTGAATGAACCTCAAATAACTGTTGAAAGTTTAAGTGCATTAAATGGAGGTACAGTACACTGTCACTGTACCACTTCCATTGCTACTTTTTAACTCTTCAACCAACAATGTTTTTGTTTTCTTTCGTATTTTTTCTACGTGCGAGGATTTGACTCTTTTTTCCCTTTTCTTGTTTTAGGTGATTGCACTGTTGTTAGCTATAACAAGAATGCAACTAAAAAGAATTGTCGTCTTTTCAACTGTCGCCCTCTGAAGCAGTGCAAATTCGTGTCTTCCAACACCACGGATTCTTTTACCTTTGCAACGGGTCTCCGCGCCTCTCATCCAGTGCCTTCTACCCAAACTCTCAGCACTCCCAAATCATCTGAAGCACCTACCATTACTTCACCAAACGCCAAATCTCATATAGAACAGCCCCATGCGGTGGAAGAAATAGCCACCTACTCAGATGAACAAGCAGGCTTTAAAAATGACAATAAAGGCGTAAAACCCCGTAAAGGTGTCAGCGCTTTCACACCAGACGCCATTCTTTCTAAATCTGGCATCAAACCAAGGAAAGGTGTCACCCTGGAGGACGTTCCACATTCGAAATTCCTTTTAAAAGGATTGAGCAAATCAAGTGTGAAACCGAGAAAAGGTGTCGAAATTGAAACGTTAATCAATGAAACGCTCTTCTACAACCGCAGTTCTACCACGAACAATGATTCTGTTTCACCTCCTCTGGTGAATTCCAGCAACGAAGTCCTCAACTCTGAAATCGAGTCAGCGTTTGCGAAAATGTTCGAGGATGATCCCGGTGCGATTAGCGCCGAGTCATCGATATCAGCAACTTCAACTTCTGATTATCAACCGACATCCTCCTTGAGAATCTTGGCAACTGCAGCTGTGTCTCAAACTTCTAGTTCTGAAATGGAATCATCTTTTAGTCGCACTCCTGTTGCTTCATCAAATCATCCCATACAGTCTAGTTTCACGAGTACACCGAGCTTGGTAATATCTTCCAGCATTCTTTCCAGCTCGGAAGTGATGGCAGCGACATCTACGATAGCAAAAAGCTCTCCATTTGTGGTTCCCATAGCCTCAACAGTTCCTCTCTTGTCAGCAAATACTCATATTTCTCTGGAAGAGCCTAAATCTCTGGATAAATCTTTAGATGCAGATGCAACAGAATCAGAGAGCGATAGGAAATACAAGTCTTCCATTCACGTAGTTCTGGCTCTCGTTTTTGGACTTCTGGTTCTGTTTGCCGTTCTCGGCGTAGTTGCCAAACGTGTATACGATAGTTGGCAGAGAAGAGATTATTACAGAATGAATTATTTAATAGACGGTGTTTATAACAACTATCATTAAGTTTGATAAAAGGAACTGGGATTCGTTTCATAATCGCTTAGAATATGCCTTTTTAAACATGGGACCAAATTTTTTCGTGTGAACATTTGTGGCAAACTTTTAAATGCGTGCCTGTGTCGTGCCTAAGTGTTAACACTTGTTCCAAATTGATCTGTGATCTAAAATTCGGTCAGATGCTAGTGACTGAAATGCTTGGCGAACAACTTGTATTTTTTCCCCGACTGATAAAAAGCTTGACTGTTTGGCAGCAACTCTGTTTGCCCCGAGCAAAGTATTGACTTAGACTATTTTCTTAGTGAATAAAATTATAAGGTAAAGTACTTAATGTAAAAATAGGTAGAGTTGTTGAAAACTATAGAGCTGAAGTTTAGAAGCTATCTTTAACATTTCTTACACGATGAACAATAAATATATTTTGATTTGTCGACTGATTTCTTCCTGAATGTGATAGGAGAAAAGTTTGACGATTTGAATTTTGCTACTTAATATAATTTTACTATGCTCATTTTCGAAACTCCTCTCAACTTTAATGTGCGCAAGATAAAATTCGAGAGAGTTCTAATTTTTTTTGTAATCTGATTGTTTCTATAAATTGAAAGTCAAAATCTCCAACAATGGAATTATGGTGCAATTAAAAGGGTTAAATCTTTGCGATACTTACACTATTGCCCCCATTTTTACTAATTTTGGGTGTTTGGAAATCAGAAGGGATTGGAAAATCATCAATATATTTAAGAAATTTAATATGTAGCCAAAACCAATCCGAGTATGTTCTGTAATCACTGCCAGGGGTCTGTTTAGAAGAAATTTGGGTCCGTTAACGGACCCTTCACAAAATATCTTTTCATAAAAACGGACCCTTCACAAAATATTTTAACTTAAAAACCGACCCTTCACAAAATGATTTGTCTTTTGATCGAACCCTTCACAAATTTGATTATCTTCATTATTATTTTGTTAATCGAGTAAACCCTTTCCAGGGCAGAAAACAAGAAAGATGAATGACAACGAATTAAGTTTTGTCTTCGGCAGACGATTCTTCCATTATTCGTCCGAAATGAATATTCTGCGATCAACAGTATAGGCTAAATACCAAATATTTGTGTGTTGCATCTCTAATTTAGAAGCAGCAATTGTTGTTTATTTTTTAGAATTTTATTTTTTTAATTATAATCTTACAGTGTTGAACATAATCTTGTATGTCTTTACACTTTAAAAACTCCTTGAAAAAGTTTTTTTTTTACAAAAAAGGACCCTATTTGCACAAATTCATAAAAGCGGACCCTGGTTGAAAGAATGTGAGTAATTTTTTCACAATTTCACGAAAAACGGACCTTTCACAAAATGTCTGGACAGACCCCTG